CCATGGAACATAGCATGTTTTCTCTGATCTATAATAGTACTCTGGTTCAATAACCATTAATTTAAACTCTGTATGTCAGTAATGCTGTGTAAAAGTATAGGAAGATGGAAAGACTGTTTCTTTGAGAATACATTATGCTTTTTGTTTGTCATACAATATTTGGTACAGTTGTAGTAGAGAATGATGATATGAAACCTAGGACGAGGATACAAACATGTAAAATTTCATAGGATAGGCATTTGACATACAGTTGAAACTTCTTAAAAAAAAGAAAGGGGGGGGGATTGTCGCAGTTGTAAAACTGCTGCTGAAATGTCAAACATCATTCTGAAAACATTGATGTTATTTGGTGTAAGAATCACAAAAGCTAAGATATAATGATGCCTTGAGCTAAAATAGCGTGCCCCAAGCCTGCTGCACTAGGAAGAATTCATGTGAAAGGGGAATTGGGATGAAATTTTAGTTCAAGATCATAGACTTGGCAAATTTCTAGCTGATGAACTTCTGAAATGTGATAATAAAGTAAGAGGAGAGACTTGTTTGAGGAGAGACTTGTCTAGTGTCCAGTCACAAGGTGGCTGAGCTACCAGTGCAGGGAAGGCAAGTGCTGTCCCACAGTGTCACTAGTGAGAGCCTTCAAACAGAAGGAAGTCATAGCATTGCAGTGCACTCATGAGCCTGCACATATAATATTAGACATTGCACCTGGGAAATGTGACAGACCTGTTGACGTTCTCCATCCTCTGTCCAACGTTCTTGACAAGTACACTAGAATTTATAGCCTAGGCACCTTCCTACGTTAAATTTGGGGACTGTGAAGAGATGCAATTGTTCTCCAGCATGTCTTAAAGAAGTAGGAGAAAATAAAGAGCTGATATGTCGGGGGAATGGGATTTCTGTAATTTTTACTTGTTCTCTGGGAATTGCTTTAGTTTTCTGCTGAGTTTTTCCAGGCTGGGTAGCCCTAGACAGTCTCTAGACATCATTCAGCACCCCAGATAGTGTTATAAGAGCTATTCAATTTCCTATAACATGTATGGCCAGATAGGCAAATATTGGTTAGTGGGGGGGAAAGAAAAAAGAGTGGGGGGAGGAAGCTTCACACTTGTGATAAATATAACCTGAAGTGTATGGGGAAGTGCAAATTGAAAGCAGCATCTGTAATTTCTTTTTTTTTTTAATTACAGGAACAGTTTACAGCAATGAGAGACCTATACATGAAAAATGGACAAGGTTTTGCATTAGTATATTCCATCACAGCACAGTCCACATTTAATGATTTGCAGGATCTAAGAGAACAAATTCTTCGAGTCAAAGACACTGATGATGTAAGGAGCTTCGAAAATGCCTAAGACTTGCCATTCTCGTTATAGATGGTATAGATGTTGATTAGATATGTGCCAAACTTTAATTTAAAAGTCAGACCAACCAATGCATGCGTAGTACTGAAATATACTCCTTGATATAAATAGGCAAACTGGGGGAAGTTGTGACTTCTTATGCGTGTATAAAGAGAATTAGGTGTTTAATCCTTTCCCCTTCTAAAATACTCTGAGTCTGTACATAGCCTTATTCAATAGTACTGCAGAAAAAATCTGAAGCAAATCTGCCTTACCCTCCATTGCTATTTAATGGATATGGTTTTAAAGATACAGTTGTAATGCTCTAATATGTTTTCCCTTTATGATTTTAAAAAGCACAAAATCAAAAAAAAAAAGTTTTTGGAAGGTTGTCCTGTGGCTTCTCAACTTGCATAGTTTTCATATTTTGTGTGTGCACCTATAATTTAGTTCGGTCAAACTAAAAATATTTCTACACAGGTTTAATATGCACTTCTTTCTTGTGTTACTAAGGTTATAAAATGAGGCTGAGAAATTTCAGGTCATAAAACTTACTACAGTTATAGTAAGTAAATATTTAGTGCTTATTAGGTAAGCTATAATTCTGAAAGCAGACTTGACTGTTGCATAAACTTGTAAGTAAGATTTCCATTTTATAAAAGCAAATAAGATATTTCTAGTGCAAAACATCAGTAGGTTGTAGCCACTAGCCATAAAACTTCCTTCTTGGTGGGGGGCAGAGAAGGGGGAAATGTAAGCAAGGAATGTTAAATATTTTAGCTTTCAGCTCTGCCTGTGGCATTTAAATTGTGTGTGTGGATGTTATGATGGTCCCTTCCTTACTGCATGTACCTACCTACGTACCTCCTGTCATCAGGTCCAGGATCTATTAAATTTTCACTTTTAGGGAAGTTCACTGTGATTCTTGCAACATGAAGCCCTTTGCTTTTTCCTAGCTGCAGGCATTTCCAGGCCTTGTATCTGCTCAGAAGCTTACTTCTGTAATAGTGCTAAAAGTGGCTTATTACCCAGTATCACAGATGTGTCTAGAAAACGTAGTATTGCTAGATTACATGCACCTTTTGCATCTGGAGCCTACCGAGTTACAGCTATGTTTAGCGTAAGAGCTGAAGTAAAGCAAGATAAATGGGGGATTATTAAACCTTAGTCTATGTGGCATATTATTTCTGACTGGTGCTCTTCTTTGGTAATGTGTTTTGGAATTGTATTTCCTGTATCGTCTTTTTAGAAAATTCCTTCTGATCTTGAAAGCCGTTCCATAGTAAGTAACAGGAGAAAAATAATGAGTTTCAGGTTGTCATTTCAGGTCTCCCCACCAAAATTTCCATTAAAATGTTTCCTCTGGTACAGCTTAGACATGGCTTGCTTTCTCAGCAGGGAAATACTCAAAGATAAAAATGTCATAATCCTTTATTTAAAGCTTGAATTTAGGGAAAGCCTAGATATTCCCTTTAATCAATAATTTAAAAAATCCTTTGTATAATTGATTTTTTTTTCTTGTCATGAAAGGTCAGTTTAGCATGTTTGCATCATCTCACTACTAATAAGGACTGTGAGCAAAATGCTCTTGAAACAAGTGGAGATTTGCTAGGAGAGGAGTGGCAAAGAGAGCTTTAGCACCCATCATCAGACTACCTAGTACAACCTACTTTTTACAAGATTTTCTCAGACATGTAAGAATATTGTAATAGATTCTTCAGTAGACTGCATGATATCTTTAACATTCACAAGTGACAGCTGTGCATGTAGAAGCTAAATCTCATGAGGTCATCTAGAACAAACACGTGGAACTTGCTAAATTGGTGGCATATATATCATATATATCCCGCACGCCTTTGACATTCGCAACCCACTGCCCACGCTTCCTGCCTCATGCCCGTATTTTTGTCCAACTTTCAGATGGAAGTGAAAACCTTAAGTTCATAGAGTTAATGTTGCTTCCTCATTAATATAGGGATCTCTGTTTTCCAGTAATTGTAACAAGTCCCCCTCTCTACTAGACACTTCTGGGTTGCTTTAGGTTATTCCTTATCTGACAAATGGCTGAACTAAAGAGGAAACGTCCTATGTGTTTATGAATAATGTATGGAGTGGTGCGTGTATATATGCTTACACTACAGTTTTCAGGAATATAATTTCTAGCAGCTTCTCATTCTGTCAACATCATGCACTGGTTCAAAAAGTGGGATTTTTTTGTGAATGTTTTTTTACTGGAAGAAAAAAAAAGTATATGTAGGCATCAGCTTTTGCTGATTCCCAATCAGTAAAAGCAGTGTTATGGAACCTTGGTTTTACTTCAGAAGTTTGTATAACGCAGGAATTTTGCCTGTTTCATTGTACAGTAATTGAGAAGTTTGGAGAAATCCACTGATGGGCAGATAGGGCAGTGCTGGAGTAAACTGTGCTTGATGAGGCCATAAGGGCTTGGCAAGAGACCAGCAGTATCTTGTGTAGCTTTTTGTTTGTTTGCTTTGGTGAAGCCTCCCAGAAGCCCATTAGCTCTGCAACTTCTCCTGATTCTCATCTGGGTGCTGGTTGCCAAAGGACTGCATTAAATACTCCCATCTTCATATTTCTTAAGCCATCCAGGCTGCTTGAGAACATCTAAGCCAGGAGAAGAAAAGGAGCTGCAGGTCACTGTTAGGACAAGTTGCAGGTTTCTGCTGCACTGGAATTACTTATGTCTAGAGATTTATGTATCTCTCTCTTTGCTAGCTTTGCCACTTTTTTTCCAGTGTAAAAGACTTAAATTCTGCTTTGATTGAATGGGGATATTTGTCATTTCACTGCTGTTTTTATAAAGTGAAGGCATTTTATCTCACCATCCTGTAGCAAATCTTGATTTATACTCTGGTTAGTGTTATTTATTATATGAATAGGTAGCAGTAAGTGAATTCAACATATAAAATGTGTATTGCAGACCCTTGCTGATACCTTAGCCCATTTACTGTTCTGTTGCTGAATTTTGCGAGCAGCTAAATTACTAATAAATGAGATCTTTATTCATCAGACAGAAATTTTGTTTTATAGTTATCCTGTGCTACAAGCAAAATAGTGGGATTTTTTTTTTCCCCCTACAAGCTGCCTTGTAAAATCTTCTTCTTAATTTTTGGCCTTGAGTATGAGCAAGTTTGACAGTCATTTCTTGAAGAAGGGAGATGAAACCAGTGCTGTTTAAAACATAAAAGAAAAATAAAATAGATTATCCATTCTGGAGGTGCAGAGGGAATAGTGAACGCAGGATTCACAGCCTTGCCAGTTTCTTGCTGTCCATGTGAATCTCTCTGGCAGAGGTAGAATGAATACAAGCTGTATGGTATGAGCATGAATGGAAGAAGTTAGTAATTCCTTCTCATATTTTTTTCCTTTGTTAATGAAAAACAGTAATTTAGTTAGACAATTTGGCCTTGTTCTTCCAGTGACAGTCACTTAACATTTCATAATATGTAAGCTTTAAACTACTAGCCAGACTACCAAATAGTGCTGTTAAGCAGGGTAGTATGAACTACCTGAGTGGCAAACTATTAAATGTTAACTGTAGGGTTGTGCTGGGCCATGTTCCATGTTTTCTCCACAAACAGAACAGTAGCTGTGTAATTTGGAGGGTAAATAACTTGAGTTGTGATAGAATATCAGTGCGACACAAAAGGGTCTCTTTTGGCAGGCCTTCAGGTAAAGGTTTTCTTGAGTAATAGAATATGAAGTCTTTCAGCAATGCAAATATAGAATTAAGTTTGTGCAAGTTACTGTTCTTGACTGAAAACTCCAAAGAAGGGGATATAATCTGTAGTCAGTGTTTCGCTCTCCTGCCTGGAGGAGATCTTGGCTGACTATATGGTGATTCAGTAAGCAATGAACCTTGCAAGTCTGACTTGGAAAGTACCATTTATAAGTGTCATGTGCTTGAACTATCGAAACTGATGATTTTTTTTCAGTATATGCCCAGATTAGAGCAGATTGTATTTAATAGCATGGACAAATGTCATGGTCATGGACAGCATCACACAATGGCTTGGGTGCAAAGCAAGAAGAAGAAAGGGGAGTATGAGTTATAATCAGAATATCATTGTAGACAAAAGGACCTGTGCTACACTTTTATATATCCTTCTGAAATCAGGATTTGAGATGAACAAGAGAGTACACCCAAGTAGGATGTGTAAGCTTGTAACTCAGCTTGTAACTAATCATGGGTACCTCCTTGGTATGTTTGCCAGCTTCAGTAGGCGGGCTGTTTTGTAACACATCCATAAACCTTTTTGCAGGGGATCCTGACTTCCAGAGTAACGAAGCTCTGATATAACAGTTTTGAGTTTACAGTAGTGTTAGACATTTGTCTTCAAATCAAAGTGACTGTGTCTTTTCCCTCATGATCAGCATCGTTGTGAGGGGAAATGTTTGAGAACTTGGATTTCAGGTGTCTAAAACTGTCTTTTCCAAAAATTGTAACGATTCTTTTGCTGACCTTAGCTCACTTGTGAACTATTTATTTTTAGGTGCCTATGATTCTGGTTGGTAACAAGTGTGATTTGGAAGATGAAAGAGTTGTGGGAAAGGAACAAGGTCAGAACCTAGCAAGGCAATGGAACAATTGTGCATTCTTAGAGTCTTCTGCAAAATCAAAGATAAATGTTAATGAGGTAAGACCAAATACTTGGCAGTGTTCTCATAAGCAAACGTTAACGTTTGTCAAGAAAAACTAGCAGACATATGGAGCATAGTGGGCAAAACTTATCCTACTGATGTCATATTTCCTCAGCCGTTTATTTTACGGGGTATATAAGCTTTGCCTTAAACATTCATACAGATGCTTCTGTTTGGTTCCATTTTTGGTTCCAATGTTGTGTTTCCTAGTTGACATAATCTGTAGCCACTGAAAATGTGCCTGTAAATGGATTCGGGTTACCCAGTACTAAATTGTTAGAGATTTAGTGACAGAATTCCTATGAGTTTTGTCAGAATTAACAGCTGCTCAGAGAAGTGACCTCACCAGGTGTGCTACAAAGAGACAGGCAGCACTTCAATAGCTGCTTAGCAGAAACTCAGTGATCAAACACATGCCTTTTTGGACACAAGAATGCACATGTTCTTGTCTGATGGAGATGCCAACGTACAGAAAATCAGACTGTGTTAGTGTTTGCATTTCTGGAACAGCTTGAAGTTTATGCCACAGTCTGCAGTCGTTGTGTCTTCTGGAGAACAGCGTTAGCAGTGAAAGTCAAGGTCAAAGGGCCTCTGTGCAAGAGTTGCATGATATCAAATGTGTGCTGGCTTTAAGCACATCTGATTTACAAAAAGAAGAAAAAAGAAACAAGTAGTGTGTGTTGAATTAGTTGTGAATATCTGGACACTACTCAGTTTTTCTGAAAAATCATAGGTTTAATAAGCCAGAACTTATTTTAAACACTAGAAATCCATGTTGGAATGTGTGCTTTTTTGGGGGAATAGTGCTTAGAAACTGCTAGGATAGCTTTAGCTTGAGGACTTTCTTGGCTTAAAATATTTAAGAGAAGGAAAAGTAATTGGAAAAAGGTTGATAACATGCACATATTGTTCGATCATATTTAGTGTTGTATTTAAGTTTGTCTTAAATCAGCATTTCCCTGGAACTGAGTCTCTTAAAATTCCAGTTAGAACAAGTGTGAAAATGTGTCATACTTCTGTTGCTGTTCTGGGAAGCTTCAGGGGTTTTGTCATGTTGTAGTCCTGAAGAGACTGCTGAATTAATTGCTTAGACTTTTTTTTTTTTTTTTTTAAGTACTGAAGCATCTGGAAAAGCATGATGTGATATCATTTGAATACTAGAAATACTACTAAATAGGCAGTGTACCTGAGTCACTATGAAAATTGGCAGTTAAAACTTACAACATTCTTTTAAGAAAATGTTCTAGTGAGTGCCTTGCATAGAGAGAAACCTGTAGCCTGTTTATTGACGTTAAGTGCTAAATTACAAACTAATAGCCTATAGCAGTTGATGGCTGCAGTATACATTGTACATTTTCAAGTAAACCTGACCCATAAATTAAACAGTTGTAGATCATAAATGCCTTTGATTTGCCTCATAGAAACTGGAAAGTCCTTGACAAATAATCATATTAGAAAGGAAGACGTAGGCAGGTGTTAAGTATACAATTTAACTTTCTGACTTGGTGATAACTACATATTTACAGAGTATTTTTGAGAATGTGAATGTATTACATGTGGAGGTTCAAGGATAATAGTTACAAGAGAAGCTTCTTAATTCCAATATGCAATTGTTTTTTATATCCACAGATCTTTTATGACCTTGTGCGGCAAATTAACAGAAAAACTCCGGTGCCTGGAAAAGCACGTAAAAAGTCATCATGTCAGCTACTTTAATACATAGCTGTACTGTAGCTCTGAGCCAGGTAAACACTTTAACATTTCCAGGGTTCTCTATTATATGACTATTAAAAATCCAGAACTGCATTGAAAATGTGTGGTTTACGTTGACAAAGAAATATGTATGATCTTGATTTTTGCCATTCAGTGTCAGAACTTAAAGTGAGTGCAAGGTAAAGGGTTCACCTTGGGATTGAGATGTCATTCAGCCTTAAGGTATTTGCAAAGCTCAGGTGAACAGTCCTTGCTTTAATATTTCCACATTTTTGGCTTTTGAAAATGGAGTTTTATTTTTAGAAAGTGGAAGAATATATTGCAGGAGCTCAATCATTTGGAATGCACACTGTAAAATATTGTAGTTTATGTGCTAAAATGTCACTTCCATCTTTTGATCTCCTGCACATGCTTGCATTGCATCATAGGAATTTAAGCTAGCTTTCTTTGGGCTATATGGATATTTTATAGGCTGCATTGCAACTACTGTTTTGGGGAAATAATTGTGAAGTGATAGTTACGGCACTTATTTGACCTGCAGCTATTGGTTACTAGATGAGTTTCCTAGATAATGACATTTGGCTAATGTTTTTATCCAGCTAAACCCATGCTCTAAGAATACTGCTGAAGGCTCATGGAAACTCCAGCCTGCTCTTGAGCAAGGTTTTTCAGAAGCCAGTCAGCAGACTTGAGTTTTGTCTGTGGCTTCCTTGTGCTTAGGCATGGTTCCCCCCACACACTTCCAGCTGAGGACAAGCACAGGTCTGTTGACTGACCTGACATAATGTAAATATTACCTATTGATATCAATTACTTCAAGTTTGTTGGTGATACAGTGTGTGTTTGAACAGCTACAATATGCAGCAGACAAGCAATGGAATTGTAGCTGGTGATTCAGATCTTTTAGTGCTGTGATGCTTTCTGTCATCTGCTTACTTGACATACTGGAAGATCCTGGTAGATTTCACTGCAATTAATATTGGGATAATTTGCAGGCTTGTGTTGCAATTTGGTTAATGTGACTTTTAGCTTTAGAACTATTTTGAATGGATACAAGTAGCTCAAACTGACTAAAACTGAGAGAGTTCCAGACGTACCAGCTGAGGATAGCAGGACTGATTGCGTGCTCGTCACTGATACTTTTCTAAAGAGGGTAATTTAGGAGCATTGATTTCCACCACCCCCTCACTCCCCTGTATCACAGTCCAGCTTTACTTACTGAGGTAACCTGTTGTTTATGTGGAGTAGAAGTGATACTAGTCGGGAAATGGTAAGGTGGTTATTTTCCAAGTCTGTTTTCAAGGACCAGTGGCATTAAATAAAGAATTGAACAGTGAAAGGAGCTGCTACTGATGCTAACAGGTTCTTTTGTTGTTACAGGTCTGAAGAACTGTTGCCCAATTCAACAGTGCCAGCATTCCAACTTTATTAAACCTACCAACATCTTCAATGGACTTTCCTGTGGTGGTACCCTTTAAGAAACGGATGAAAGCTACTACATCAGTTTGCACATTCTAATCACTTTCCAGTGTCACGAGAGATTTTTACTTATAAATATTCTAAGTGTATGCAACTGGTAAAACCAGAGCCTACATCCAGTATTACTGATAAGAGACATTGTTCATCCACCAATGTTGTACATGTATGAAAACTGTGTACTGTATACTTCAACAATCCCCTCTTTCTATTGGAGAGTACAATAATGTAAATCCTAAAAGCACCACTATTTTAGCATAATAAAAGAAAGTCCAAAGAGCTCCTATATAGACTACTCCAGATAACTTTGCTTCATCGGTATTTGTAGCTTATTGTAACTTTTTTAAAGAAATACAGGATCATCATCATCGTATTGTACAAAAGCGCTTTGATTAACACAACAGCTATATAGTTTTTTAATTTTAGGAAAAACCTGTGGAGACAGTGATCTAGTCTTTAAGAGTCCTTTCAGTATAATGTCTGACTAAAGACATGGCCTTTAATATCTGTTGGGAAGGAAATGTCCAGACTTTTCAACCTTTTATTGTATGTTTCCTTTTCCTTGTTTACATAGGGAACAATGTTTATAGTTGTGTGTACAGTGGGGGTCTACAACAAGAAGTGTATATTTTAAAACGATTTTTTAATGATTTAACAATTTTTTGTAAATCATTTTCGGGCTTCTGCAGCTGTAGATTCTCACTGTGAATTCCCTTGCTTGCTCATGCATAAGTGTATTTGCAATACCAAATATACAGGTTTAGTACTTTTGCCTGTTAGTGATTGTTTTACATGTGTAACGTTTTGGTTGAGATGTTAAATGGTGGAAGAGTACTGTGGATGTGAATGTGGGAAGTAATTTTAATCATGTGTAATTGGTCACAGGGCCTAAGTTGCAGTAATTAACTTTTGCTGATTTATTTAACAATGCCTTGTTGCTTTGTATGCATTAACGTTTGGGTGTAAAGATTGTGTGTATATCCAACAGGGAGCCACAGTATTTAAATTGACCAACCTAATGTTACAACTGCTTTGAGGTGGCCAAATGTAAACTAAAAGCCTTAATTAAAGTGGTGCAATTTTGTATGACTTAGCATCAGTAGTTCAATAAATTTGGATTGCCATGCAAGGGCTTGCATTACAGTTATATACTACTCGAATGTTTTGTTTCAGTAGCGCTAGTAACCTTTGAGTTCAATGTCACTTGCACAGTACAGATGCTTACATCTTAGGACTTAAAGCAACCGATATGATGTTGTCTCCCAACAAATACATGCCGTAGGTATTTCTTTTGCTAGCATCCCATGTGCTAGGGTGGATGAACTTCTGACTGGTTGAAACCCCATTTACAGTTTCGGACTTGGAATATGTGAAGTGTTAAAGTTCTCTTGTAAGGAAGGAAAAGAAGAAGGAAGAAAAAAAAAAAAAAAAAAGGCTTAGAGGGAAATACCTGTCTTCAAAGGTTAGACTATCAGTGGCCATTCCCAGAACTTGAGGGTATGTTGCCTGTGGCCATTTTCCTTCTTTCCAGGAAGAAGTCATTGCTGAAACTTGCGTAGTGTAGCTAAAATATTCTCTTACGATAAAACACTGCATTTGGTTTTCTTTGGAATGATGGAAACCAAACAAGCACAGTTTAAGGAGATCTGCAGGAGAGCACTCTTGCAGTACTAAGTGCAGAATTTTGCAGACCGTAGATATGTTAATGCTGTTAGACTGCGAAGTGGGATACTCGAACTATGGATGAGTTGATCTTAGTTGTGCTGTTGAAAATTAATGTCATGCCCAAATACTTAGTACCCCCTGCTTCTCTGGAACAGAATTGCCTGAGCATGCTCTAATCCACTCCTGCAAAATCAGTCCGATCAGGCTGGCTCTTACCAGCAAACACAGAGCTAGTTTACTCTGCCCAGAAAGAATTCAGTTCAGATGATCCTTTCTGCTGGTAGACGTTTCTTCAGTGATCGCAATGACTGCATGGAGGTAGTGCACTCCTTCCCTGTGTGGAGTCAGGATTAAGGTTGATAACCCTTTTCGTTTATCATTAGAAGCCAGACTATGAATACCTGTTATGGTTTGCTGTGCATACCAGTCACTTCCAGAGGAGCATCCTGTGCTCCAGCCTGACCTTGCGCTCTTGCACTAGATCCTTTCCTCCTTGCATAACCAGTCAGTAACTTTCCTCCTTTTGACTTCCAGCCTCTGATTATTCAGCTCTTTTTAACACTTTTGTGTACCAGTTGTCATTCTCTTTGTGTTCTTTTCAGTGTGTTTCTCTTCCCAGTAGCTGTACAGATGGCAGGAGGTGGGAGGGAGAAGAAGTGAACGGATAACATAAGAGGGGTATTGTCTTGGTCACTGCGTCCAGTCAGAGTAGTAACTACAGGGAACATTAGCTTTGCCCTGGAAGCTTCACTGTGCTGGGGAAGAGTAGATGGGTAATTTCTCAGCAGGAGGGGTGGTAAATTTTGGATAAACTACAGGAGAGTAAAAATCTCAAACTTTAGTGTTCATCATCTCAATAAACTGCTAAAAAGGGAAAAAGTTTTCTGTGTTTTGTTGGCTTTTTTTAAATATTTAGAACTAGGCCAGATTAGCAATATTAACAAATGATAAGCCAGGTTACTGTCTAAAATGCAGGATTTTTCTCCTATGAAAATTTAAGCAGGCTTCAAAGAAACAGTGTCTCAGCAGTTAAAGGGAAGATGCCTGACACTGATGTTGAGGAAGTGAGGGACATGAAGAGTGAGAAAAAACTCGTGAAAGGATTTTCTTCATTTCTGAGTAGTTACAGCACGAGGAGCTGCTCCCTCGAGGGAAGCGAACATCTAGTTCCTCTCAGCAATTGGAACTCTGTAAACAGTAACCGCTTCCAGAAAATAATCCTGTCCACAGAAATCTTTAAACACTTTCTAAGCTGTCTTGAGGATAAGTGCTTTATGTACAAATCTTAAGAAGTTTACACTTGGGCTACTTCAGTAGCAGCAGAACACTTCCCATACTGAAGCAAGAACAACCGAAGAATGCAGACAGACCTGCTCATATTTAAATAAGTAGGGGGAGAAATGTTCTTTATTAGTAGACATGTCTCCTCTTGGAGTGGTTAGTTTACTTTGGTCCTTCAAAAAGATACCGTTCTGCTTGCAAAGCTTTGGATGAAAACATACATAATTCATATTTTATCAAAAAAATGCAGTAATTTTCCAAATTCAATGCTATACTTATGTATTGCTGCTTACTGCTTGTAAAGTTAGTTTATGCTTACAGTGCACACACAGTTTGTGACTCTCTTACTTCCACCATAATCTGAAATTGATGTTTGTCAATATCTCAAATGTCTGAGCTTTCTGTGGAGGAGAAAAAAAAAAAAGTTATCTTTATGCCCTGAAATATAGAAGTATTATTTAAATGAATTGCACTCTCTTCCTATTAGGACTTGTTCTTTTAAGTACTTATTATCTCTTACATTGTTATTAATGCCTTTCTTCATTCTCTAATAATTCTGTAAAATGAATGTCAACTTGCTTATCTTAAAGCAATACTTGAGAATAGCAAGATGTTTTCAGATGCCCACAGGAATGGCACTGTAAACTCAAACTACTACTTATTCTCTGCGTAAGAGAACATAACTTGTAGAAAAGTACTGTAGAGTTAGATACTAAAATTTGTTTTATAATATGTACTGTGATATTGTGATGCTAGAAGGGGAAGGTGGGAGGAGAATATTGCTAAAGTTTTGATTAAAGCTATACATTTCTCTCCAGCTCTGGTGTAATTAGAATTGTTGTTTCCTCATGGGCGAAGACTAGAGATGAGGATTTTCTTCTATTTTAAAAAGCTAAGTGAATTGTGAACGAGTCAAAGTTTTCCAATGTTTTTATCCTTGCCAGATAATTTAAGGAAGGGGAGAAGTTCTGCCAGTACTTCTAGGTAGGCTTCAGTTTCAACAAGACAAAGTTATTTCTAGACCTAGGTGGTCAAAAAAAGTAGCAGTGCAACTATCTGTAACTTAACATTGGAATTGCAATACGAACATGCAGCTAAGCATCAGCGTAGATGAGAAACTTTTTGTTCAGCATAGAGCTGCGACCTTAGCAGCATCAAGCTATACTTCAATATGTAGCTATAGCCTATGTATGAGGAGGAGAATAAACAATTAAATAAAGCAAAAGTGGCTCAAATATGTAGCGAAATAGGGGTGTGTATAGTTCTCTAAGGCAACATTAGACAAATCTTAATTTGATTAAGTTCTGATTTCGGATTCTTGAGCCCCCTATGCTTTTGTTTTCGAGTTTTATGAACTTAATTCTTAAAATCTAATTTGACTTGTGTTATATAAAGTAAAACTTTGGAATGGTACTTGACTGACTTTATACTTACATTCTCAGTCTGTAAGTATAATCAGATCTATGTTTCGTATTCTTATTTTGTTCCCTCTTGCAATATTTAAGCTTCAAACAAATGTTCTCAGAGAGTTTTAAAAAGGAAGGGCAAAACAAACATCCTCAGGATTTTCAGCTGTCAGGCAAAGGGAATGGAGAGAGAAAGATTTTCAGAATTCCACTTTACACGAATAAAAAATAAAAATCAGCACTCAGGCACTTTAGCCTTAAGAATTATTAGTTGGGTCTAACAGCAAGTTGTGTAACTTTGATGTTTCAAGGAATTTCGCTGCCACCATTTGAAAAAAAAACTGTAATTCATTATTTTTTAGGATGGCGGGGGGAGTTGGGAGAGGACTACGATAAACTTTTGGGATGTTTTCTCCAATCTTGGATTTAGACTTCAGCAGCTCCCCAGCAGCTTCGGGGACAAACCAAGAGTGGCCCCTTTACAAGCAGCTTAGGGCAGCCCCCGCAGTGCCAGAGCTCGCGCCGCCAGCAGCCCCGCTGCCTTGTGCAGCGCCTGTTTCCGAACCACTACTCCAGGGGGAATTTCTCCGCATGAGGAATGCAAGGAGCTGGTCCATTCGGTGGGAATCCCCGGTCGTTACAGCTCCAGGCGCAGCTGAGCCCTCGCTGGAGCTTGGGGGCACTTGCTGGTCCCCGCTGCCCCACCAGCGCAGTGTTTCCCCGCGTACCCAGCACTGTTACACCTTCCCAGCGGAAGCCAGCCAAGCTTTGGAGTTACTGTAGCAGCGCAAAAAGTCGTTGTCTTCAGAGAGTTCGTGAGCGCGAGCTGAGGAGCCGCGGCCTGTGCGGACAGCCGCCCCCGGGCCTAGCTTACCCGCAGCAGGTCGCTACGGCTCGCGCTA